GAAAGGCAGGATATAAATGTAACAATAAAATAAAATAAATAAATGAAATCTGAGCCAAAATATCTGCAAGCAGCAGAAGCTAAGAGAAATAACAAGGGACTTTATGCCCTTCTTGGAAGCTCCCCAGAAGCATACGTATGGCCATGTTTAGAAACAGTTGTGCTGGCTGGGGCTGCAGTGTGTTGTAGTCCCCAACATCTGGTGGGCCCAAGGCTGGGAAAGGTTGGACTAGGAAAGGTAGGAGTAGATAGATCTTTCTTCCCACCCTGCCGGGTTCTTATGTTCATACTCTTTGTATTCATTTAGGATTAGTCTGTCAGTCAGTTTCTCCAAGTAAGCGTTTGGTTTCAACGAGCCTCTGAAGTGATCCATCTGCCAACCACTCTCTACAAATTTGCTTCCCAAAGACGAAATCCCCTCCACAAATATTTACAAGGAGGGACTATTGCCATTATATCTCTGTGATGCTTCTCCTTCCTGGTTGGTGCTACTACCCAGGAATTCCAGAAACTGCTTTAACTAACCTACCTGCTATTATTAAGACAATCTTGTATTGATTTGGTTCCAGCAGGTGCAGATTGCAAAGGAAACACTTCCAGCCTATGTAATTTAATTTCAAATTGCTGCTGTGAATCTGAAACCTTCAATTAAAGTATTAAATATACTCCCTCTTAGGGTTGTTTCTGTCTTCGCTGCAATCCAAACAGATCTGCCCCAAGGCTTATCACAGCAAAGACATTTCCCACCAACACCCCAAGGTTAAGTCAGTCAAACAGCCAGAGATACTTGGGCTCAGATGCTCGCGTTAATGCACGCCTTAGGCAGGTGAAGAGCACTGGAGCATTCAAGAGTGAAAAGTCAGAGTAAAGGTGATAAATTACCATAAGTGAAACCTAATGCAAGGCAAAGCTTACCACAAGAACAACAACTGTGATTGTGTGTCACCACCAGCTCCACAGAAGAACGTCTTCTTCCCAGATTTAGTTTAGGGAACATTTATTTAATTACATGAGGCGGCCCAGAATCATTCTTTGCAAACATGTCTTATCTCAGTTTTCTCATCCACAATAAGCAACCCATTTTCTTCTCCAGAATTCCTAACTGCTATTCTACATTAGTGCAAACTGATTTGCTACCTAAGTTAATTGAACATCCTTGGATTTATTGCCCAAATAGCCTTATGCAGATGTGACAATTAAGGCAGTTTAAACACATGGGAGGCAGTGGTGATGCACTGCTTAGCCCTTTCTCCCATGGTTGCCGTAGCTTTAACTTTGGGATTTTATGTGTTAGTTTAGCTCCTGCCCCGTCACATCTCAACCGCTATAGTGCCATGTTGCAGTAAATGTCATTCAAACAACAACTATCCATGAATGTGAACAGATGCCAACAGAAATGTTGGTTCTGCACACCCTGTATGCACAAGAGCACTGTGGTCCCCACATGATTCATCTCTCCTCCATGCTTAGCCTCTAAAGGTAAAGGTAAAGGTACCCCTGCCCGTACGTGCCAGTCTTACCAGACTCTAGGGTTGTGCGCTCATCTCACTCTATAGGCCAGGAGCCAGCGCTGTCTGCAGGCACTTCCGGGTCACGTGGCCAGCGTGACAAAGCTGCATCTGGTGAGCCAGCGCAGCACACGGAACGCCGTTTACCTTCCCACTGGTAAGCGGTCCCTATTTATCTACTTGCACCCGGAGGTGCTTTCGAACTGCTAGGTTGGCAGGCGCTGGGACTGAACGACAGGAGCGCACCCCGCCGTGGGGATTCGAACCGCCGACCTTGCAGTCGGCAAGTCCTAGGCGCTGAGGTTTTACCCACAGCGCCACCCGCGTCCCTATGCTTAGCCTCTACATTCAGCCAATTTTCTGGACTTTACCTTTCGCCATAGCTTTCTATGCCAAAATAACAGCAGACTTTCTAGTGGGAGCCTTGAAATGGGCGAGGGAGAGCAGTGCATCCTGGTACGCCGCCTTGTGGTTCATCATGTGAGCAGCTGTGATGTGAACTTTTGAAAAGGGCAGGGAAAGTGCCATGCAAAAACCCCATAATTTTGCAGGTTAACAAACAGATTCCCCCCCCCCCCTGTAATCAAATAACATGGAAATGAGTGCTAAACCTGAGCTATATTCCATTGCATTCCATTAATTTTCCAGGAGTGGCTTTTTATGTCACGAGAAATCTCAAATATAATGTGCAAACTGTGGTGTGGATGCACTTTGAATGGAAGGTGACTCGTCCCAAGTGGGGAGACTTTTGTCTACATAGAGACTCTCTGAACATTTCAGAACCCTGGAAAATGAATGAAACAACTGCAGCATGGAGCAGAACCAGCATGCACATTCCTACTCCCCACCACCAATTGTAATGCCTGCATAGTGTCGATTTGATTTGTAATCAAGTCCTATGATCCACTGCAGGCAGACTGTGGCATGGTGTCTTTGGCAAAAGGTTATAGCACTGTGACCCAACACCATCACTGGTACACAATAGCACTGGCAGGTCAGACTGCATCTCTCACCTACTGAAATTGATATGAATGAGGACCAAGCTACATATCACACAAACTTGTTTTTAAAATGCCATTTTTAAAAAACCAACATGTCTGGGTTTTACTTAAAAGACAATTTAAATAAAAATAAAAATGTAAATAAATAAAATAAAATAAAATAAAATAAACACAAGAATTAAGAGAGGCAGCAACATATTAAAAGCCAGATAAAAGCAATCAGTGATCATCCCTAAGGGGTCTGGTTTTCAATACCAGAATTGAATTCAGTCTTCTTTTTAGTGTGCAGGCGGCCGATTGTGCATATGAAAAGTTGATAATGTACACTTGGAAAAATAGATGGAAAACTACACACATTAAAAACATGTTTTTAAAAAGCACTTAAAAGGTAATGTCAGGAACACAAATTATATATATGGGTAGAATGCACTCAGTTTCTATACTTAAATTGCCCAAACTATATTAAAACACCTTGCTCTTTATGTCCAGAACTTCCTCTACTTCTTCTTCGTCTTTGGGCAGGTAATGCTTTGTCACATCCTTGTAAATACCCTTAAAGTACTTCTGCTTTTGTGCCTCAGGTCCAAGCTCCACCCTATGCGTCGTCATCGTTTTCTTCTTCTGGGTCCCACTCAATGAATGGTGGCAAATTTTTAATGGCTGTAATGACAGAAGTATTCTGTTTCACAGATAGTTAGGCCCAGCTTTTACTTCTGAGCACAACATTGGCACTTACGAGCCTCTTGACGTCAGCACTATGGGGTTTGGCAGCAAGCGCGCCGGCAAGATTCATAGCAGTGTTCTTGTAATTTGGCAACCCTGCAAAGAATTTGACCTTGTCCCTCAAAGTGAGCACACTCTCTCAACACACTCCATGCCCAATAGTTCATCAATGAAAATTATATAACACACACACACACACACACACACACACACACACACACAATGTATTTCCTGGAGGACTGCTACACTCAACATTTTTTCTTGCCACCACCCCATAAGAGACACAGAAGGAACTTCAGCTGAATATGACAGGCAGAGAGGAGATCCACTTAGTGAACCAGTCCAGAGAACTACTATTAATTTATGAAAGGCTTCACAGTGTTTGATTTCATTATTCTTTATCACATTTCTATTTCACCTTTTCTCCAAGGAGCTGAAAGGCAGCGTACATCTCCCCTCCCCCTGTTGTTTTCACAACAACCCTGTGAGGTAGGTTAAACGGCTGATAAGACGTGTGAGCCTCTTGGGGTTCCTCAGCAAGCTTCATGGCAGAGTGAAGAACTGATGTCAGGCCTCTCCCACATCTAGCCACTAAGCCACACCTGCCATCTTTTGTATTTTAAGGTTGTGTACGGGGTCCCTTTAACTTTACCCACCATCAAGTTAAAGCATATTTCAAGCACACACACCACATTTCCAGGGAGCTGTGGTTTGCCAAGTTTGCAGGGAACTGTAACTCTGTGAGGGGTTAACTTTATAGTTCCTGTGGGGCGGCAAAGGAAGGTGTTTTAAAAGTTATGGGGGAGGGCAAGCGGCTTAATGCTGCATGCAGGAAATTCAGATATCACAAATGGGTTGGTGCAACAAAAGGTAACCAACTTTTTCCAGAGATGGTGAATCCAGATTAAAATGGGGATGCATGGCCCCCAGAAACGTCATGACGATGCTGTGAAAAATCATAACGCATAAGGATCCATGATTCCCTCCCAATGAACAGCTATGTGGAAGCACCCTATGCCCTTTCAAAATGTGCTGGGGGAGCTATTGAGTTGTTGTTTTTATTTTTATTATGTATTTTGTGTTTTTTATATCTTGATTTTATTCTGTGAACCGGGTATAAAGGTAAAGGGTAAAGGGACCCCTGACCATTAGGTCCAGTCGTGGGGTAAAGGGACCCCTGACCATTAGGTCCAGTCGTGGCCTACTCTGGGCTTGCAGTGCTCATCTCGCTTTATTGGCCGAGGGAGCCGGCGTACATCTTTTGGGTCATGTGGCCAGCATGACTAAGCCGCTTCTGGCGAACCAGAGCAGCGCATGGAAACGCTGTTTACCTTCCCGCTGGAGTGGTACCTATTTATCTACTTGCACTTTGACATGCTTTCAAACTGCTAGGTTGGCAGGAGCAGGGACCCAACAACGGGAGCTCACCCTGTTGCGGGGATTCGAACCACCGACCTTCTGATCGGCAAGTCCCGTGTCCCTTTTTGTACCGGGTATAGGGTGGTATAATAATAATGATGATGATGATGATGATGCCAGCTCCTACAACTCAAGGGATGCATGTGTGTCGTTTCAATCATGCCTTGATCAGGAAATAATCCCTCTCGCTGTCCTTGTTTGTCCCTCGGGACTTCCCGCCCCCACCTTCGAGCTTGCCTTTGGCTCCGAGGCACCTCCGCGAGGGCGAGAATGAGGCTCCCGGTCTGGGGTCAGCAGGTCCCGCTCCTGTCACAGGAGGAGTCCTCTCTCTCCGGCAGGGCCCATTGTCTCTGCGCAGGCAGCGGCGGACTTGTTTGCGGCCTCCTTGTCCTTTTCGCTTTCCCCCGGCCTGCTGACGAGGACAACGCGGGCCAGTGGGAATCAATTAGGAGGTGTTTCGCTTTATTGACTTCCTTTGATTTCAGGATAAATGTTTTGTCTCCCTCTTCTAAAACAAAAGGAAAGGAAGAAATCCTGCCTATAGCCTGGCTGCCGCACGGTGCGGCCCGCCAAGCCTGTATTCATAGAAGCCTTTGCAAAAGCATGCCTTAAGTTTTATTGCAAAGCCTTTCTCCCCATGTACCATCGTAACAACAGCAACACACACGGTAACCGAAAAGCCTCCTATATACATTACACACTTAAAACATTAAAGAATGCAAACAGTGAGCCCAACACAACAAACGTGCACAACTTCGGCACACTCCAAATGTATACACGTCTACTCCAAAAGAAAGCGGTAATCCTAAATCCTGAGAGCCCCAATGGAAATTGCTTCCATGAATAGGCATCCAGGAAATTGCTGTATATATCCCATAGATTTAAATGGGAGTCTAGGTAAATGTACATTGCAGTGTACTGCAGATCTCTACTCAGAAGTAAGCACCGCTGAATTAAATGAGGCTTGTTTACTACTACTACTATACTGGTGTCCGGCCTTTATATTGCTAGAGCTTGATGTACTCCAGCAATGTGAAAAACTGGAGTTCAGGCATTTTCCTCTTGGCATCCTAATGCATAACATCCCAGGTGGAATTCAGTGGCACAGAAGGGGCTTGTGTATTGAAGCCCCCCTCCTCCTTTCAACGAAGGTGTTACAAAACAGAAGATATTTTTAGAAACTCGACGCGTCCAGGTCACTTGAACAGATTATGCAAGAAATCTTTTTTTTAAAAAGGCAAACAAACCCGTCCTTTAAAAATTCCACTTCAAGCGACGTGCCAACATGTGGCACAACTACCTAGACTGCAGTACTATATTTACGCTGTCGGGGAAGTCGGTCGCACAGACATCCGCGGGCCTTACTTCCGAGTAAACGGGTTTAGCATTTGCGCGGTGTCAAGAGAGCGCCCGGCTCCTTCGCTCGCCAAGTCAGCCGCCTTCCCGGCCAGGCGCCATCATCAAAAGAACAGCCTTAACCTGAACTCTTGTCCCCCCCCCGCCCCTTTTCTCTCTCTCCCCAGCCCTGCCTTAATTAGGGCCATTGTTGCGAGCCACGGTTATGGAAGTGACAGGCGACCGAGGGAGCGAGAAGGCCTAGTCTTGAAAGCGGAAAATAGGAGGGTAGGCGGATTTCTTTGCACCCGAACATGTAAGTTTGGAAACAGCGACCATGGTAGGCAGTGCAGTCGTATAAAAGTCTGGTCGCAAATATAATCGAGATCAACGGGCCTGCTTTTGGGGGAAAGCGTGATAGCATTGCAGGCTAAATTCCAGAACCTAAACCGCCCAATTCCTAACACACCACAAACAAAACAGAATTTCATTTATTTATATTTTTCCATCTCAGACACATTAATAACAATTTTCTATCTCAAAACACATTACCAGGGTGACTTGCAATTAAAAAGCTAAGTATCTAATTCAGACTCTACGGAGGGAATAAGTCCCTTTCAACTTAGTGGAACGTACTTCTGACTTGAGTAGACATGATTTAGGATTGGATTTGAACTCGGCAGAAGTTGTTTCCGAGTAAACAAGGAAGCTTAGGAACCTCTCTGTAAGTTATCAACAAAGAATCTAGAATCACCTCGGTGCCGGCTGAACGCGCCTTAACTCCTTGCTTCGCTCCAGAGTCCAGACGGCTTCCTCCTAAGACCAATCGCCGTCTATTAAGCCGAGGTAGCTGCCTTTAAATCGACGGGAATCCCACCCTAGCCAACCCTCCACTTGAAAGGGATCATTCACGCCGCCTTTGCGGCTTTAAAAAGCAAGACCTGAAGTGAGCGCATTTCCAAAAGTCCGCTTCAAACCAACGGGACGCAGCAAGTCCCATTTTAAAAGCCTGAATTTACTTTTGATTCAATAGGCCGGTGTTGCTCCAATGCTCGGTCTGCTTTGCCCCCTAGAAATAACACAGGAATAAATGCGGGGAGTAAGTACTCAGTGAAAGAAAGGCAGCCTTCTTTCTTACGATGCGCACTGACTAAGGCGCAAAGGCCGCCATGTTGGCCTATACGCGATAAAATGGCAACAACCCAGTTGAGCAATAACTTTATTACAGCCAACCAAAATGCCACAAAGGATTCTGAGGATTCTGGGACAGAGAAGCCATGGCTGCTCTTGTTGGCTTGTAAGGGTTGTAGCTAAATAGCCACGCTGCAGTCTTATTCTACACGGTGAATTACGTCCCATGGACCTCCTCGGGGTGTACTTCTGAGCGGACAGGGTCAGGATCGCGCCGTGTTTAGGACCAACACATCCATTTACTTGGAAACATTGGCTTTCCGTGGATCGCCCAAGGAAGGGGGCACAGGCAGGCAGGGGACACCTCCCTGCCCCCTCGCTGCTAATTCTCCTCGTCCCCCTTTCGCGACAGAGCCCTCCTTTGCGTGAGACCGACTTTGAAGGGCCCCACCTCCGATGCGGTTTCGCCACTTGGACGGCCAAGGGCTTGTTCTCTACATTTCTCTCCCACAAAAGAGGTTAGCATTCAGGAAGCGAGCAATTAAAGGGCTCCTCAGCGGGGATGCGGATTAATTTTGGACGCTCGATTAAATCCCCAAAATTCTTCCTATAAATTATTGTCCCAGCTCCCTGGGCGGACACAAAGATGATCTTTTGTGTTTGTCCAAAGAAAAGAGTTTTTATTTACAAACTTGCCGACCGGCGGGGATTTATTTGGGTGCTCGACACGCGAACCTGCCCCCTGGTCGCATAGTGTGAAAAAACAGGAGCCGGAGAGCTGCCGGCGCGTAAACAAGCGGGCTCGTCTCCCCTTTGCTGTGCCGATGGCCGTGAATTGCGACGCCCGGGAGACGCTTGTAACTCTCTCGAACGGATGAAAGGGATCTTTAGCACTTGTTTTGGGCAGTGGAGCCCAGTGGGATCGGCGAGATTTGTTCACTTTCTCCGAAGTAATCTCGCTACTTCAGGGGCTTTGCCGTAGGACCCTGATCGCGTTACCCAAAGGGAAGCGCAGTGAAAAATCAGGGGCTTCACCAACTGAGAGTTGAAAGTGAACCGAAATTCCCTTTAAATGAATGGAATAGTCTTTGCGCTTTCTAAAGAATGGGGATGTTTAATAATAGCAATAATGTACTGTATCAGTGGATCTGATAACAAATTTCAAGTGTGTGGGCAACAAATTAAGGCGTAAATCTCCTATATGCTAATCGGGAAGTAAAATCTTATTGAAGTGGAATTCAATACTGTACCTGAGGAAACACATCTAGGAAGCCTGTAAAACTGCAGTTGTAGGCACTATTGCTAGTAAGTCTCATTGAGACTACTAGGATTTACTTCTGAGTAAGTTCGCTTACACTTGCACATTTACTTGGCTGTCATCCTTGACACTTGTTTTGAAGGAAACATCATTTAACTCAATGGGGTTTACTTCTATGTAACATGCATGGGCTCTCGCTGCAAGATCATATCTTTTCAGGGACTTCTACTTTCAGTCAGTTTCTGAAGATATTATTAAACTGCTGTACGCATTGAGCAATGATGATGTTGATCGCTGTCACTGTAGCACAGGTTGCCCTATTAAAATACCTACAAAGCAAAAGCTGCTGAGATGCACATTAGGTGCACTGTGTACTTCAGTGGGGCTGCCTTGAAGGACTTGGAAAAAGTTTTCAGTTGTAAAGGCATTATATTCCACTGCACCCAAGACCACAAAAGCTTTAATATACTGTATTTGTTTATCTTTAAGGTGCTGTGAGGCTGTTTGACTACAACCTTTTACACTCCTGGGAATAAGACCCATTTAACTGAGTGGAATTTACTTTTGGGTAGACATGTGCACTATCAGTTGTTTTTGTAGCAATATCATTTCATTGATTTGCTCAAGCCAAATCCCTGTAGAAGATTGTCGCCTTTTTATTAATCTCCATATTGTATTTATTTACCCCTCTGTCCTGCAAAGAAGCACATCCATTTATGCAGATTATTCTAACTTCCTTGAAGGCCAAAGTTTGCTTAAACCTACTTTAGAAGTCTTTACTTCATTTCTGGTTGTTTTTAAAATCACAAATAAAACTCTTCTGACAAATGCCAAAAACTGCAGCTTGCAAATGGGTAAAAGCCATCAAACATTTGTTATATATGTATACCTATTTCATGCCTAGCATTTCATCTACAGCAAGTTCCACAGATTTCAACAGAATTTGCTTATGAGCACGGTAAGAAGATTGGGTTATTGTGTGTGTGTTTTACAGAAACTGGTGCTTGTGAAATCCAAGATAGTTTGTCAATTATTTGACACCCCCTTCCCTCCAAAAATTCTCTGCTCATCCCCACTTAGGGCTTATTTCTCAGTCAAGAGGTTTTAGGCTTAAAGCTTACTTGAAATCACACCTTTTGAACTGGTCATCTTTATCTCTAATCCTAGACATACAAGAATTGAATGTGGCTATTCAGTGGTAATGCAATTGCCAGAACTGATACATATTTACTTGGAAGTAAAACCTACTGGAAAATCACTGCTACGGAATCCTTGATAAGTAGCTATACAGCCTTTTGCTGAAAAAACCTCTAATGAGGGAGAATCCAACACTTTAAGAGTCTCATCCTTCTTTTTACTTGTAACTTGAACCTACCGGTACTTCTTTCGATCCTACCCCTCTGCAGCAGCAAAAGACAAGTTTGCTCAATCATCTATGTGACAGCCCTTTTGTTGTTACTTGGCAGATTCCAAGACAGAACCCTGACACTGCTGCGGCTCCAGTGAGGAGCCCAGCTTCAACTTAATCCCTGAAACTTAAATAAAACATAAACAACAACAACACTTGTGTGCTGAGTTAGGATGTGAGGCAATTTAAGAGGCAGCATTTTATTTTGTTCATTGCATAGATCAGTAACATGGCAGCAGTGTACACTTAATTAGAAAACTCTAAAGGAAGTCTGATGTTTTTCAAAATACAGTTAAAACTGATTTAATTCTACCAAACACAGCTATTATATACACATTCCAAAATAGCCCTATGCTGTGGATTAGTGCATTTGTTAGAATCAAGGATCTAAGGCCACAATGCATAGTATCAAGATTGTAAACAAAGCTACTACACGAGAGTAGAGAAGGATCCTTAACTGAAAACCATGGATCTTAGCACAGTTCCTTGAAAGCAAGTGAAGCCAATGGGACTTGCTTTCAAGCAAACATGCTAAGGATTACATTGTAAAAAAAGTGGGGTGGAGGGTGTATTCTGGTTTGTACCACCTGGTTAGAAGTACATTTTATCAGCATTTGGTTGTTTAATTTGTAAAGCTGCACAGAAACACACTGTCCCAATTTGGTACAGGAGGTGGGAAAACCCACAAACAAATGGCAACTCCTGCTTCTAACTGACAGGTGGCAGAATCAATCCACTAGGAAGTTTTCCTGTGTAAGCTGATTGAAGCCAATGTGGCATGTGCAAAGTACAGTGAATTGTATCTTGTGAGTCGATCTTCTTGCACCCCATTTAGCCTCAACTAAGGAGTCACTCTTACTAGTGCCACTTGGTTGCATCACAATGCACAACTGAGTTGTTGATCTCTGGTCTAAATTGAGCTGTAGAAGCAGTACCACCCACATTTCTTTCTGTTTTGTTGTTTGTGTTTTAAAGAGAGAGATACAGAAGGGAAGAGAGGCAAGGAAAAAATGAGAGGGAGAGGGAAGAAATGACAGAATTAATACAGTTTAAAAGTAGGCCTCAGGTTGTATCTTGGGGCTAAATGTGGGCTCCAGGGCTGAAAATTCTGAAGACTATCTGACTAGCCCCCCCCCCCCAAAGGCTGCTTATGGTGTTTACTTCAAATGAAGGCTATTTGACCATCATTCTAAACTTCTGTCCCTTCTCTGCTATAAATCAGATTGTTCACACTGAAGGTGCCCAGGACAGGGGTGCCGAACCAGTTTGACTGTCCACCTGCACTCGCATAGTAATTCATCTTGGAGTGGGACTGAGGACTGAGTTCGAATCCTGAAACTGGGTTGCTGTTGGAGGCGGAGCAAGAGCTCAACCCAGGCCCATTCTGCCTGTCAGATGCGAGTTCGCCCCCCAACCCCCCGGAAAGCTGCCTGGGGAAGCCGCTTCTGCCATGGGCCACAGCATTCATGGTGGAGACGAACGTAGACAAACAACGGCTGGAATTCAGGCTGGAGGATTTGCAGTGGTTCATAGGACTTGGAGAGCAGGGCAGTTCAGCAGAGCCCAAGTCTGGGGCTTGTTGGGCAGGACAGCTCTTGCTTTTGTCTTCCACTTTGTTAGGGACTCCAGGCCCATTTGCTAGGTCAGATCGCCTTTTCCTCTTCCGCCTGAAGTTGCCATTATCAAACATCTTCTCACAGTTAGGATCCAGGGTCCAATAATTGCCTTTACCTATGAACCAACCAAACACATGTGAATTGAACAGGCAGGCAGAGAACATTTTGAAAGTGAGACATTTCTGGACAGCCCAGGCCAATGGGTCAAAACAGAAGCAGTAAAGCAAGCAGCCGTCATCAGGTGAATGCAAATTCATGTTCCTGCATGACTCTCCAGTATTTTAAATATGCCGACAGAAGCTCCCCTCTCCCCACCTTGTAATGGGTGACATCTAACCAAGTCATACTTGACTTAGGTCTATTGAGTTCACTGGTTTCTACTCTGAGTATGTCTTAGTTGACTATAACCCAATATGGTAAGTGTGATGCTTGTAAAGCTGTTCTTCCTAAATTTCCATTTATCTTTCAACACAGGTCAGTTGAGTCAACAGACTTACTTTAGAGAAAGCAAATGGTGGACCTCAGTGATATTAACCTGGAATGTGTGGTTTGGAAATAATAGTCTGGCACCGTACACAAATATGGAAGTAATTCATACTGCAATCTGTGGGACTTTATTTCCAATGATAATAATAAAGAATAAGAATAATAAAGAATACATTATAAATTAGAATAAATAAATAAATTTCGTCCCCTGTGGAGATGGCTGTTCCTTATAGACTTTATTAAATAATACAATGCCCATCTTTTATTCCAATGTTTAACTGGATTAGTTTGATTATTCTTCCCTATTATAATGGTTCAAAGTGAATTAAAACTTTCCTAAATGCTGGCAAAAGTATCTAAGACTGCAGTCATGATCACAGTTCCCAGGGAACAAGTTCTGCTGAACTACCAAGTTCCTTCTAAGTAGGTATGCAGAGGATTGTGCTGTAAGATGATTCTGCTAAAACAAGCCATTGATATTTTCTAGGTGCCTTGATCTTAATTGGGACATTTCAGGTCACACACTTAATATGGCAATACCAGACCATGTCATCCTCAATAAGCACCTTCAGACACCATACGTATTGAGGCATATGTCATATGGATAATGATCTATTAGATAATCATTTCAAAGCAATATTGCTAATGGGACAAAGCACATCTGATGTGTTCATGCTAGCAGTCTTTTCTTTGTATGATAATAATAATAATTACGATAACAATCCTTTGTACAGTGGTTTCAAAGGTTCAGAATGCATCATAGGCATTATCTAGTTGCAATCTTTAAAATAGTCATGTAGGGCAAGCAATATTGTCCTGTATAGCACTTTTAAACTGAAACTAAGAGTGGCTTGTCGAAGGCTGCCTAGTGAGTTCATGGCAGAGGCAAGATTTGAGCTGAGGAGGTCTTGATTCACAGATCAGTTTCTTTAAGTGCAATGCTATGCATGTTTACTTCTGTTATGTTTAATGGGACTCCCCTCCTACCCCCAGGCAAGTGTGCATAGGATTGCAGCTTTAGCTACTACATGACAACCACCATACATGCTTCTGTGACTGCACACTTTACACTAGCAGTACAGTTTGATGTTAACCTACCCTTAGAAGATCTACCTGTAGTTTCAACCCTCTGCACACTTATCTGGAAATAAAACCCACTTTAGTGAGGCTTACTTTGTGTAAACAGCCATAGGGGCTTACTTCGTGTAAACAGGCATAATATTTTGCTATAAAAATGCTTAGGACTTTTTCCATGTCTGGAGAGATGCAAAAGTTTCATTGGCTAAAAGTGTACACTTGCCTTCAAAGATGTTCCCTTCCCTCTTCCTTTACCAAACAAATAACATACACACCCCATGCACACAAATAAAGACAGAGAGCCTCATAGGTGCTCTCAGACTCATGTGAAGAGCAGCTACTTTTAGTCTGCTGATAACTAAAACACTGGGTAAAACACCCGGTTTGAAAGCAGTAGCCTTTGATTTCCATTAGTCAAATCAAGGGAACATGATAATTAAGCCACTACTTTCATCTCATCAATGGGGCAAATCAGAGTGGGAGTGGATTTGGAGAAACTGGGTGGAATGACGTTTGGATGTCAAGGTGGCTGCAAACAAGTTGGGTGCAGTCCTGCTCCACTATGCTTAGCAAGAATGTGCCCATTGGCTTCAATGGGAGCTGGATCTTTCCCACTGCTACATTCATCCATGCAACAGCATGTTTTAGAGCAATGCACAGATGGAACCATAGGCTCCTCTCCCTTGGGTTGTCTCCATGCATCCCCTAAAGGAGATGTCTAAACCAATAAATGTTTGGGGGGGGGTGTACACACACATACAACCCTGCCCCCCTTCAATGAAAACTTATCAAGAAATGTAAAGATTATTATTAGTAGTAGTACTTATAAAGTAACTGAAATTGTTAGATGTTAAAAACAACCAAATAAAAAAATAGGTCCTGTTCACAGGCATACTATCTAAAAGAAGAGGAAGAAGATTGATTTGTGATAAGCCAGGGTGAACAGGTGGTTTTAGATTCAAACAATGACTATGAGTAAAGAGCCACCAGGAGACACTTGTTCAGCATTGACTAATGCAAACTGATAGCTGATGAAGGACGGTTTAAACATCTTTAAATATATTATACTCCGTGCTCTGTATTAATTAATCCAGAATATAATGTCCTTAACCCTGTAATGTCTAATCAGTCCTGCTCTGCTCGTGTAAAAGGCAGGGGGAACCTTTTAAACTGCCCTGTTTGTGAATAGGGCAGGATATTTTAAACATGTATTTTAAAGCGCTCAAAAAAAAAACAACACAAAAAACCCTTCGCATGAAAATTTGAGGAAGGACAGGTTCTTTAACCGATCTGACTGACAACAGCACAGAGTGCGGAAGGCTGCTATGCTCTGCTCTGCTCTGCTCTGCTATGCTAAACTCCAATGGACTTGATAGTAACTCCTGAGCCAATTTGCGTGGCCGTACCTGCAGCGAGTTGGCTTAGGAGCAATTTCCATTGAACTCGGCGGACGTTTCTTTTAAGTACTGTACACTTGCTCTGGCTTGTGCTGTGAAATTTGTCATTATGGGCGATCTCATCCACATTAATTCGTCTTGAACGTGCCTCCTAACATTTCACGCCGCCACTTCTAGAATAACTGTCACCCTCTGATTCCACACTAAAACAAAAATGTAGGAACCCCTCCTCCCAATTTCTTAGAAACTTGCTCCGAAAGGCTGGGAAGACAACCCACGTTTCCCTGCGCTGGAGCCACGCACCTCCCGCCTGTGACTCACACGCGACTAACCCGCGGCCAGCAATCCTGAAGATGAAAGCCAGTGTGGTCAGACTAGGACTTGGAGATCCTGGTTCGAATCCACCCACTGGGCGACCTGGGGCCAGTCGTCGCCTCTCAGCCGAAGCTACCTCGCAGGGTTGTTGTGGGGATTAAACGAGAACCATGTACGCCGCCTTGAGCTCCTTGGAGGAAAAGGCGGAGTATCAAGGAAACAAGGAACCAAATAGCCACGGTTCTCTGTGGAATAATCGGGTGGGTCCCGCGAGGGATGGCAGCCCTTACCTGGGTCGTCCTCGTTCCTGGGCACCTTCTTGAAGCAGTCGTTGAGCGAGAGGTTGTGCCGGATGGAGTTCTGCCAGCCGGCTTTGCTCCTCTTGTAGAAGGGGAAGTTGCCGGCCACGTACTGGTAGATCTGGCTCAAGGTGAGCTTCTTGTCGGGCGCGCTCTGGATGGCCATGGCGATGAGCGCCGAGTAGGAGTAGGGCGGGCGCACCAGCTTGAAGAAGTCCTGCTGGCCGGCCAGAGACAGCCAGCCGAGCTCGGGCCCCGCCGACGGCGCGCCCAGCAGCTGCCGGGCGCCGGCTGCGCCGTAGGCCGAGGGCAGGAAGGAGGCGGCGGCGGCGGCTCCATTGGGCCCGGCGGCCAGGTAAGGGCTGGACGGCACGGCCGAGCCGTTGAGCCACAGGTACGGGCTGCCGCCTCCCGCTTCCCCCAGGCTGTAGCCGGCGGGGTGGGTCCCCGGGGGTCTCTGAGGGGGCGGGAAGAGGCTCAGGTTGTCGCAGTAGACGGCGGCCACGTCCAGCAGGTCGTGGGCGCTGGGGGGCTGCTGCCCCTCCAGAGCGTTCATCCTAGGCAGCCTCGCACCGACGGCTCGCCCGAGACGCTCCCGCCAGCGGAGGCGCAGGAGCCATGGCCCGAGAGCCAGGGGACGGCGAAGGGAGCGGGGCAGCGCCGCCCACTCTCTACCAGTCCACCCTGCCCGTCCAAGGCGCAGATCTACTACTGCCCGCCGGCCCCCACCGGCCCTCGACTTCCCCCTCCCTCCCTCCCTCCCTCCCCTCCTCCAGCCGAGCGGCGCCACGCTCCACACTGCCCCGTCCCCAAACTGCAGCACCCTTCCCCCCCCCACTCCTCCTCCTTGGCATCGATTGTCTCCTAACATCCCGTCCGCCCCTTCAGCTCAGCCTCCCCCTCCCTCCTTCCGAGAATCCAAGGAACGGCAACATCGGTCCACATTAGAAGGGAGTTGACAGATCTCTCTGCTAGAGGTTGGCTGCGACAATGCAATCCCCCTCCTCCTTTAATCCTCAAGTTTGCCCAGGAAGGTGGTGGCATTTCCCTGCTGTGTTTGTCCCTGCAACCTGTTATTCAATGGTATAAAGGTAAAGGGACCCCTGACCATTAGGTCCAGTCGTGGCCAACTCTGGGGTTGTGGCGCTCATCTCACTTTATTGGCCGAGGGAGCCGGCGTACAGCTTCTGGGTCATGTGGCCAGCATGACTAAGCCGTTTCTGGCGAACCAGAGCAGCGCACGGAAACGCCGTTTACCTTCCCGCTGGAGTGGTACCTATTTATCTACTTGCACTTTCACGCGCTTTCGAACTGCTAAGTTGGCAGGAGCAGGGACCGAGCAACCGGAGCTCAGCCCCTCGGGGGATTCGAACCGCCGACCTTCTGATCGGCAAGTCCTAGGCTCTGTGGTTTAACCCACAGCGCCACCCGCGTCCCTCATTCAGTGGTATACTCTCACTGTATATGGAGGCTCCATTTAACTAGTCTGGATAATATTCATTGGTAGAATTTCTCTGTTTTTCCAGAGCATGATGCTTGGGGAGTGGGTTTTTTTTGGCCTCGTGGAGCCTTCAAAACAGGGTTACTCAGGGATCAGTTTTATCCCCTATGCTGTTTAACATCTACATGAAACCGCTGAGTAGAGGTTTGGAGTGCCTTGTCAGCGAAGTGCTGAAGACACACAGCTCCTTTACATCTGCAGGTGAGGCAGTGGAAGTGCTGGACCAGTGTCTTGCCTCCGTAATGGACTGGATGAGAGCCAACAAACTGAAGCTCAATCCAGATAAGACGGAGGCACTATTGGTGGGTGGTTCCCTTGACCCGATGGATGGGAGGTTGCCTGCTCTTGATGGGGTTACCCTCCCTCTGAAGGAGCAGGTACACAAATTGGTGGAACTCCTGGATCCATTGCTGTTGCTTGAGGCCCAGCCCAGGGTGGTGTCAGTGGCATGGAGCTTCCATCAGCTTCAGGCCACCTGGACAGGGATAACCTAACTTCTGTTGTCTATGCTCTGAAAACCTCTAAGTTAGATTACTGCAATGCGTTATAAGTGGGGCTGCCTCCGAAGACTGCTTGGAAACTTCAGCTGATGCAGAAATCAATGGCTAGGTTGTTCACTGGGGCAAGTGAGTCTGAGCATAATGAATCCTGGCCTGACTGCAGTGGCTGCCAGTTAATTTCTGGGCCCAATTCAAAGTGCTGGTTTTGACCCATAAAACCTTAAATGGCTCAGGACCACAATAATTCCAGGGCTGCCTCTCCCCATAGGAACTAACCTGATCTCCTATTCTGAGGTAGCTCTCCATTTGTGGAATACTCTCCCCAAGGAGGCTCACCTGGCATCTTTGTTACATATCTTTAGGCACCAGGCAGAAACATTCCTCTTCTCCCAGGTCTTTGGCTAATTTAAGAATCTACGGCCTTTAAACTGTGTGTGTCGGGGGGGGGGGTAATTGTTTTTGTTTGTTATTATGCTATACAGTCATACCTCACGTTACGTTTGCTTCAGGTTGAGCGTTTTCAGGTTGCGTCCCACAGCGACCCGGAAGTACCAGAAAGGGTTACTTCTGGGTTTTGCCGTTCGCGCATGCGCAGACGCGCAAAATGACATCACGCGCATGCGCAGAAGCGGCGAATCACGGCCCGCACACGTGCAGATGCACAGACGCGGGGTGTGTTCTGCTCATGTTACGAACGGGCCTCTGGAATGGATCACATTCGCAACCAGAGGTACCACTGTACTGTATATTTTTGTGTTAAGTTGACACACTGGAACAGAGCTTTCTTTTCAGTTGGAACTCACAGGACCTCAGTTCCGGCACCTCTCAGGTGGGCACCATTGCCATTCTAAGAGAACAGGGCAGACGTTTATGGTGAGTTCCAGCAACTCTTTTCCTAGAAAAATAGCACTGCACTGGAGTGGGGGAAACAAAGTCCATACAAAATTGAACTCACCATGCATTAGCAGATGTGTGTTTCTCTCTCTCTATGTGTGTGTGTGTATACCCTACTTTTTGCAGGCTTCAAGTGCACTGGCCAGTTTCCCCATACCAAACAAGATGGAACTCAATTCTGCTTTTTGTAGCTGTGTCACTGCTACCTGCCACACACCTGATGTAACATATGATGCCAAGTGTGCAGCAGGAAGGTGTGGTTTGGGGAGTCAGGTGTGGCCTGTGGGTCAGTTTCCACACCCCTGGTGTACACAGTGCTGATCTGGATGGATCAATGGACTGACTTGTTCCTGTTTTGCATGTTCCACATCAAGCCTGTCCCTCCCAAATAGAATTTATTGTCCCCTTTGCAACTATGAGTGCCAAAGCCCTTTGTGCCCGTTAGTAGCCATTTCCCCAAACAGCCACTGTTTTTGCCTTCTTTCCATTGTCAGCCCACCTTCCTTTTCCACCGTTCTCCTTCTCCCAGACCAGCTGCTTGGTGAGCTGGATGGCCCTTTGGTCTGATCCATCAGGACTCTTATTATGGTTCACAATCCCATTCTTTTTTCTACTTGGAGGAAGAAGATTTGCTTCTGCAGACAAGCAGGGTTCTGCTATACCTTTCCTCCCAAGCAAAAGCAAAACCAAAACACAGAAGGCTCTTTTAACACTTCTCCAAAAGGAAACAATTGCTAATATAAGCCACATTCACACCATACATTTAAAGCACAACGATACTACCTTAAACAGGCATGGCTTTCCCCAAAGAATTGTGGAAGCTGCAGTTTGTTAAGGGTGGTAAGAGTTGTTAAGAGACCCTTATTCTCCCAACAGAGCTACAATGATCAGAGTGCTTTAAAAATCAGCCCCTCTTCCTATCCCTCTATCAGCTTTGCCCACTGCCATTATTGCCCTCAATTTTGGTTTCTTACATTTTCAGTCTTAAATCCAGTTTTCCACATTTCCACACATCAGTGTTTTTTTTTAAAGTGATGAATATTTAGCAGCATTTTCGTGCAAATTTCTCCTAATATATACATCGCTCTAGTATATGCATTTTTGTATGCATTGCTTGGCTTGAGAACTGCATTGCAAAATTTGGAAAAGTGCAAATTTTGAAGGGTGCCTGTGTTTCTGATCACATCTTGTTTTAGAAAGTGTACGTTAGGTAGGTTAGCCTTTAAATGCAAACTGAGCTTAATTCCTCTGCCCTCCTTGCATGACACAATCTGTGCACAATCTTCTGCACAATCTGTGCAGAATTGTCACTGTAGGGAGGGTACCAGAAGTATGAACTGGACTCCGTTCACCAATTTCTCAGAAGGCTGCTTCTCCTGCAAAAGAGGCTTCTGTTTTTCTTCTTCATTTGAGTTTTTCAAAATTAAAGTAAGAAGTAAATTTTCAGTCTTATACATATCCTTTGTGTGTGTGGAGAGAGAGGGAAATGAAGGCACAAAAATTTCCTGGAATTAAAGTTTCAGTGCTATGCTTGATTATCTTTGTAGGACTTATTTTCAATGTATACAGGGGAATTGCTAGGAATTTAAAAGATGCAGGGCACAGTCCTATAACACAAATTTGCATTTTTAATCTTTGAATACAAATTTAGTCTCCAGGTAAGTTAAGCTGATAGGTAGGCAGGTCTGAGCAGCATGCCCCCAAGTCCTGGAAGAAGAAGAAGAAGAAGAAGAAGAAGAAGAAGAAGAAGAAGAAGAAGAAGAAGAAGAAGAAGAAGAAGAAATAATAAAGTGGAAAGTAGGGGGTGAAGGAGGCAAAACATCCAGAGCTTCATTCCCTGCTATGCATTTGCAGGTATGTGGACAACCTCATCTAAGGGCTTTCTCCATAGAAGGACTACATCTAAATCATTAAATTTTTCGTTGGCATGTATGTGGATTTACAGGGTGCATCAGAGGGCAGGGAACATAATCATATGAGCTAATACCCTGCTTTTCATAAAAGAGAAGGCTTTGTGTCCACTGTGCCTGTCCCTATAATTCAAATCACTCATTTGGGTGTTCCCCGGTGATAGAAGTGAATGAAAATCTACATCAGGAACGGGGAGGGTGGTGGTGAAATCAAATCAGCATTAGCAGACGGTTGAAGTGGGAATCAAAGGCCATTGCAATGGTGAGGTGACACTCCCTGAATCTTGACGGGCAGGTGCAGACCCCAGGAGACCCCAGAGGCAGCCCCTGCCATTTCCTCCCTAGGAGTGGGGGGAGACCAGCAGCACCTCCTCTTTACCAAAAGCCCACATGGTGAGGGGCTGCTGAGGAGATGGAAGATCTCCCTCTTTGGATGTCTCTGTTCCTAGATGTGGCCCAGTGGCGTAGCGTGGGGGGTGCAGGGGGGGCCAGGGCAACATCGGGGGGGCGCGCTAGCACTCGCAGCTCTCTGCCCCTACCTGGCTCACTCACTCTCTCTCACTGCAGTGCTGGCTGTGCGAATCCGATTCGAGCCGCCGGGTCACCGCCCACTGTGGAGGGGGGGTGCCAGGCGTGCGGGTTAGGGGGCGCAAATTACTTGCCTTGCCCCGGGTGCTCATAACCCACGCTACGCCACTGATGTGGCCTTCCACCTAATGGAAGTTTGGAAATGTCTAATAATGCCAGTCACATAAGGAAAATATGTAGGAGTTGGCTTTATGATGCAGCTGCCAAAAGTTTCAGTTCACCTCATGGGGTTTTCCTTCCTTCTTTCTAAATAACCAACCATTTATTAATTATGCTTTGCAATGAGGCAGGTGCACTACTCACATGTGACGATGTTCCCGTGGCAATGAACATGA